AGATCCGACCAACCTTTTACCTGTGTAAGTCATTAACAAGAATAATGAAGTGCTTTCATGTCCGCCATCAGCATGTCAGAGTGTCAGTCGCTCATTAGATGTTTGGCATTGTTGAATTTCTGTGCCCAAGCCCCGTAGAGCCTAGAAGGTGGGAGCTTGGCTGTTTCGCGTTTGGGGGGCGGTGGAAATGGGCTGCAAGGCTTGAGTGTCCCTATCCCAAGTTGAACACGGCAGAAGATTGACCCGTTGTTTGTTGCAGGGTCTAGGTATGTCTTGGTCCGTTCGATTCGTTTTCCAAAGCCCTCTTGAGGTGATGAGCGGAAACTCCTTCATCCCGGAGTATCATCAATACATGGGGCCTGGACGCATCACCTTCGACTCCGAGGAGTCCAGGTGGCTCATATGCCATTCTCAATGGGGCGAGGGCCCCAGAGTGAACTAGTGAACGTTGGAAGAAGCGACGCGATGCCCACGGATATGCGGTGGTTGGCCCACGGATCCTTGTTCTGGATGGTCCCAAACACGTTTTCGACACGGAGGCTTCGGCCGCACACCGAGGTGGTTCTTATGACTGGTACTACGCGGTTGAGAGCCAGAACCTGGATGTCCCTGAAAGTGGCTGGACCACAGGCGCTTCTTTTGCCTTCTGTCGACTCCTGCCGAATCCGTTGCCTGGCTCTCGTCCGGAGGGTGTTCCGGGCTCCGTGACCCCTGGGAGTTGTTTGAGATCGCATTGGATTCGTCCTCGAACCGAAATAAGGGTTACCAAAAATCCAAATAAGATATTCTTTAATGGATTTTTGGTTGATGATTCATTCCCATTAATTTTGTAATAATAGAAATCTCTTAATGTATACAATTAACTTATTAACTTGTTATTCATTTTCTATCTCTTAGGATCAGGAATTTTACTTTTATTTAATGGGTTATTTTCTTCTTTATTGGTTCATCCTTGATTTAGGAGTTAATGGTTCTTCGGGGATTCCGCACCCGTGTCACCCCACACCGCCCCCCCGGTGTCACGCACGCCGACGCCGTGCCCGCTTTCTGCGTCGCAGAAAACCAGTCGCGTGGACCCTGTCCTACGATCAGCAAACATGAGCTCAAGGAGGGCCAAGATGTGAAGCTACGCCACTGGGCAGCAACAGCACGTCAGCGTCTCTCACCAGCGTCTCACAGCATGAGTCTTTCAGTTGGGAGGATTAGATAGGGAGACGAGTAAGTGCTGGGCACAGGGCACTGGGTTGTCCAACTGTTTGGAGCCCTGCTTCTTTGACCGAAGCTACATCCGCGGAGGCAAGCTGCATCCGGACAACTTCATTCCAGCTGAGCAATACCCAGGACAACGGCCATTGAACCTTCCATGTCACCGTCAACGCTGTCCAGACCAACAACTCATGTCTGGGTTTCCCCAGACATCTCACGCTCAGCACAGACCCACACAGACCCCCCCAAAGGCGAGTCAGTCTGGAAGTTTCTTCTTCCCAATGTCAATTGTCGGGGTCCATATCATGCAATCATAGGGAACCCCCCCCAACCAATGGGTTTGGATCATCATTTCGGGTCGTTGCCGGGAAGGTCTCCCCAAGGGCCATCCGGAGAGGTCTCATCTTGCGTCGTGGCACGGGCTACTTCTTCACCGATCGAAGCCCCCGGAGGACAGGTTTGCCCCTTTGAGCAGGGAGAGATTTGCACCGTGGAGCGTATCGACGGCCTGTTCTTTGCTCCAAAGATTGCTCCGGAGCCGTGGGCAGCACTGAGTGGCGTGCACGGTGGAATTCGGCATGTGAACATCAAACCATCCTCACTGAAGTCGGCCGTATTAGGATCAACCTGAGTGATGAGTTAGGTGGTTGATGAGTCATAAACGGCTCACCTGTTAGGTGGTTTTATGAAAACGGCCCACCAAAAACGGCCTCGTCATGAGTTAGGCCGTTTTGGGTGGGTTGTTCAACCTGAACTGGTCACCCTTGGAGCACTTCGAAAGCAGGTCGACGACGACCGGAGCAAGGGGGCGGGCCGGAACCGGCGTTCAGCTGACGACCCCGAGCTATGTTCGTTCTTTATTTTGAGTGATTTGATTTGCCACTTGAGAACCGAATCCAGTAATTCTGCACTCTTCTTTCCTTCCACATCTTCCAAGTCTCCTCCCTCCTTCCATCTCTCTTTCTTTCCCTCTATTCTTGTTGGTATCCACCGCTCTTCCTTCTTCTTCTTGCTCTCCCCTCTTCCGTCTCAACTTTCTCCCAATCAGATACCACAGACTAGGACAGGCGCCACGCGGGCCCACACTGTGCCAGCTGAACGGATGGTGTGAGGAGAAGTGGATTCCTTTGAGAGCTGCAATTCCAGTGGACGCGCTGCCGGAAGATGAGCAAGAGGACCGGTTTTGCCCATTTTTGTGAGTGAAAGGTGAAGCGTTCCGACCAACAAGACTTCCCTTTTTGGGTGATGACTGAGCTGGGTGTTGCGCTCCAAGCCCTTGGGCTTGTTCTACCCAGCCAGGGAATATTGAACCTCGATCCAGTGGAAGACATTCAAATCACAATAGGCCAAGATTTGATGAGAGGTGCCGAACATGTAGGTTCTAACGGTAGAACGAAGGAGATACCCTGTTCTTCAGTCCCCTTTATCGAGCTTCTCAGATTCCTCATGTCCACAGCTTCAGGGTGAGCGCCTGAAGGGACCAAGCGGCAAGGGGCTCAGGCGCGGCGCGGCTCACGGGGCTCGGTGGTGGACACGGGGCGGGTCTCATCCGGGTCTCATCGGACCTCCCAGGCGTTCCGACCCCCTTCTTCAGAAGGAACATAGATCAATCTACCCAAGTCAGGGCTGATTCGGGGTCTCCCGAACATACACACCCACCCATATAGTTGTGGTCCATTTTGGGGCCTGATGTCAACCACACAAGACGGTAGAGCTGTGTTGCCACCCAGAAGTTTCTGGACAGTCATTAATTTTCATCTATACTGCAAGCTGCAAGTGTTAACTCGACAAGACGAGCCAACATGGTTGTGCCATATCGGCCATCTCGTTGAGCACCGTTCTAATCAAGACAGATGCGATTGTCCTTTTGAGTCCAGGTTCCCCCGTTCCCTTGGGAGCCTTCCACCAATTCTGGGAGGCCAAAAAAGACACAGAGTTCCAAGACGACGCTTGGTGACAACACAGCCAAAGGAGTGTCTCCACTATAGGATAGATCTCGCTACGAACGGAGCAAAGATAGCTCCTGGCCTCACTAAGTTACTAGGAGCAAGAAGCTACTAGTAACAAAGGGCATCGCTACGAACGGAGCAAGGACGCTACGAACGTATCTCCTGATGAAATATGTCTTGGGCAACGGCACCACGACAAGGAGGTATTTGGGGGATCACTGGAAGTCCTTTAGTTTGAGGGTAGCTTTTCCTGCTTGCTTCCGGCTTGTGTGATTGCTTTTTTTAGACCCCTGATACAAGGGATATTTTTGACTTAAAGCCACACACATCCGATCAAAAACAGCCAGAACGATGTCAAGCTGGAGACAGACCAAATCTACCGAACAAAACATCTCAGGGACTGGAGGAAGGACTTGCTGAGAACTGTGAAGGTTGTGAGCGAGAAGGCTGGCAGGGGCAACCTGAAAGTTGCTTCAGAGGGTGAGTTTTTGGTCTCCACAGAGTATCAGGATAGGGTACAGACTACCCATTGCAAGGCTCAGAAACGCAGAAGCGGCACAAGTGTCTTCCTTTCGCACTCATCAGTCTATTTTCTGATTAGCCCCATCGAACTTCTTTGGGCTTCATCCATGATGCACCACCCTCTACTGCCTTTCACCCACGTAACAAGGCTTGCAGGCTTGGAGGCCTGCCAGGCCCCAAATTCTCAAGATGCCAGGCCTCCCAGGTGCCTTGCAGGTGCCTCACAGGCCTCAAGTTTGCATCCGGTCTCCAGGTCGACAAGCTTGAGGCCGAAGTGAAGGAGCTTCAGAAATGATGGAGCGCGTAACTCGTGTTCGGCCACCAAAATGCCGGGTGTGGCAGAGAAAGAATCGGCTGCAACACCTGAAAGAGACAGGGCGACGCCCTGAGGCTGGACGTTTCACCAGGCTGTGAGATCTCAAAAGGACGTATTGAATGGCTTGGGGGGGCTGGGTCGGAGGGCTGCCACAAGAGCAGCTGAACTCGGTCTGAGGCGAAGCCCTCCTCTTGTGGTTTTGACTATGTGAGAGCATACCAATCTAATCTCCGAAGATTCCTGCCATCAGGAGTCATTTCAAGCGCGGGTTTCACTTGGATGTGGATCAGCTCACTCTGCCTGTGGGGTGCCCTTCCCCAAAAAGGGATACCGCACACATTCTGCTGGACCCTTGCAGGTCTCTCAACAGCTTTTGGCCACTCCAGAGACTCTTGTTTTTGTTTTTGGTCACAACAAATCGAGTGGGGCAGAATCTGATTGGCCCCACAGCAAACTCTTGCTTCTAGAACTTTGGTGTTGCTCAAAGTTCTGGGGGTCAACACTCACATTGCCTTTGTGCGATTGGTTGCCAGGATCTTGGTCCGAAGAGGAAAAGGATGAGGCGAGGCTAGCCTCGTCGTCAATGCAGATGTGTTGGATTGTGGATGCTGATTGACGGGCGTCTTTGAATAGACCTATATAGATAGAAACAAGTTCCAAGTCTTTTGGCAAAGAAGCATCACCAATCGCGACATGGGCCAGGAGTGCTTGGTTCTCTGACAACTGGGAATCTGACGAAGAGGAAAAATGCGCGGTGCTGCGAGGTGACGGCCAGCTCCACTACCGTAACAGTTTCTGTAGTTAATATATGTGAATATGGATGAAGAGGGTCTCACTTCTTCAGTACCCTACCAAGAACCAACAAATTAACATCCCTATTTTCAGGAGTCCACCCACATCCCGGTGACCGGGTGGGAGGTCGGCAGATCCCTTGGATGAAGCATCCATCATCTTCTCATGCAGTGGGTCTTCTCATTCAGCCATGGATCAGCACAGTTCACACCCAGGTGTGTTGAAGATCCTCGAAGCACTCTGGGGCTACGCGGCGGAAGCACCCGCAGCGCTGCTCGTGGAACAGCTTCTGCAGGCGGTTCGGGTCACAGCTGCAGGCTCTTAAGGTCTCCGAATGCCAAGCTGCGTGGCAGGTCTGGATCTACAACTCCTTTGACCTCTCGGAGGATGGGAAGGAGGCCAGGGTTCGGTCAATGGAGTCAATGGAGCATGAAAACCCCGAAGGTTTGCCCATCACCTGGGCACTGTTGTGACCAGAACCTGCAGAACTTGATTGGGTGAATTCATCATGACCCTTTTAACCCGCACAGATTTCGAAGTGCACAGCCTGCACAGCCTGTCCTACCGTTCCTACCCCCCTGTGGCCGGAGTGACTGGTTGGGAGAACACGACCAGATCGCTGATGTTCACTACAAGAATGAACCCAAACTAGGGACCCTCTGTACCGCCAAAGGAATCGACTCCGATGAAAGCAAAGGGAGACTCAACGGACAGGAGATCCAGCTGGACAGCAGCTCCCTGTCTCCAGGCTGGGGTGATCTTCTTGGCATCTGCCATGATGTCGCACTCCTGTGCTCCCAATGCCGTGACTTGATTCCGAACCTGCGCGGGCGTCTGGGCCGTGGTGACCAACTTGCATGGGGAAAGCAGGTTGTTAAGAGGTGACCCAGGACATATGGGTCTAGTGGATAGGATCTGCCGAGCAGAAAGCTCCTGAAAACGAAGAGGGAATGCTCTGGGCAGGTCATTGCCTTCGGTTGCAACAGTTGGGAAAGGTATCAAGTACACACCACTCGGATGAGGGCACCCCTTCCACAAGGCCTGGCACTTGGACGAGAACAACAGCTACATCCTCCATGCTCGCAGCCCCATCGAGCAAGAGCAGGTGCGACGCTGCCCCACCTCCTCTTGGGCACTTGGATCTCATTGTCGGTTGAAGCTGTCCCTGCCCCAACTGGGCAGGTGGTTTGTTCGTTTTTTCTTCTGGCGGGGTAAACGATCATCTTCTTGCCCGTAAAGAACCGTCCTCTCTTGAGGAGCTAAGGCCTGCCCTGTCATCCCTGTCATCCCTGTCAGAGCACGGGATTTGACACAGACCGCCCAGTGCTGCTCAAACTTCTTCGTTCGCCCTTGGGTTCCTTCAAACGGCATGGGCAGTTCCATCTCTATATAGATCCGGCTCCCGATCCATCCAGTCTTCGATCGCGGGAGGAGATCACCATCTCCTACCTGAGCCCTGATGAGCTGATGTTACCGAGCTCCCTTCGAAGGCAACTGCTGGAGAGCACCAAGGTGCGCGGGCGGGGAGAAAATCCCCGTTGCATGGGTCGATGATGTTGGAGAGCAAGGATGAGATTTGGTCGAAAACCTGCCTTATATAAGCAGCATGCCCTGGCTTGAAGCAGTGATGAGAGGAGCCTCAGCTTGATGAAGAGCTGCGGGCTGACTGAGTTTTGTTCAATTAATTAGCAGTCTTTGAGGCTTTTGGAAGGCAGACAAGAAAATCTCAGGATTAGGTGATCTGCCAGTCCCATGTTTCTTCCCACGAAGCTCATGGTCTTCAAGCTTAGGTTGACTTGAAGTACAATGATACCCTTCGACAGACGTGGAAGCTGAAGATCAAGCCTTTAGAACAAAAGACAGTTCCCATCAGCCATGTTCAGCATGTTACTTCGTACCGGTCTCAAAGATTCGGTTGGCCGAGTTGGTCGCCCCAACCGTGAGGGGAACGGTGTGTGGAATGGAGTGGCGCCTCGCCGGGGTTTCGCCGTGGCCAGGGCTTTCGCTGCAGCTGCTCTCGCTGTCTGGAACCATTGGATGTGGCCAGGCCGTCCATGTGACACACTGTGCGTTGGCTTGCGGGTGGAGGTAGCTGTCCCCACTGTAGCTGCCGTCCCCTTCGCTAACCTTCACTCGAGCGACGACGAAGCGGGACTGACCATTCATGACTGAGCTCAGCTTGAATTGGTTGGCCAGGGCCTTTCTTTGTACGTGTGGTGCAGAGGCGCGTGAGCTAAACTGAGACATGTTTTCTTACACATGGTCAGAACCAGAGGAGCAAACACTGTGGTAGAGGACAGTGTCGAATGGGCCGTTCTCTTCTTCTTTTGGGCCGGTGACCATATGTGTTCTTCGTCCAACACTTTTCCTCGCCGGCAGGCACTGGCGCATGCTGAACCAGGCACCGTGCTCAAACCTTGTGTGCGTCTGTAGGTATTATGCTGCAGAAATCGACGGATTCCGTCACCAGGCCTCCAGGCAACTTCGCCCGTCCCCTGGGACACCGGTTTTGCGAACTGTGGAGTTCTCACGCGAGGGGAGCTCCCGGATGGTCAATGGGAAGAGCTGGCCCGGAACGCCGAGAGGGCAGTGGTGTGGTGTCGCTAGAGTGTGGTGTCGCTAGAAGGCTCAGCTAAAAGAGAAACAAACACACACACACATATGTATATGTACATACATATATATATATATAAATGCAATATTATATACATTATAAACATAAATCAAGACACATAGCATCTTGTGCAACGAGTGTTGAAGGCAAACATTTTGGGTGTAGTTGCATCAGAAGAGGAGGTTCGCCTTCTTTGCTTCTACTTGACGTTCAGCCCCTGGGAGGATGAACACACATGTGAACCGCAAGCTATTTTGGTTTGAATCTTCAGTAGAGGTGCGCAGGGTCTTCAATCTTACTTTCAAGAGGCTCTGGAGATTGGCTTGACTGATGGTGCTGAAGAAAGACTACTGTGAGGAAGCAATGGTTAAAACCAGAGCATCACAGCGAAGTGCCCACCCTACAAGTCCAGTTCGACTATTTTGGTCACCACCAAAGTAAACGAAACTCCTTTTTGGGTCACCTAAAGACAATTTTCAAATGGTCCGGGACTTCCAGGGTATAGTTTTACCGAGAGAGCTGATTCCCATCCTGCAGATTTTTGGGCGATTCCACCCGGGAGAAAGAACACCCTTTCTGATGAACAGTTGTTCTCTTTTTTTCATCCCGTTCGTAACGGTTTTTCACGAACAACCAGACCAACTGAGGAGGACGTCAGCGACCGGTGGCCACCGAGCCAAGGTCTGCAACTCCTGTGGTCCACGCAGCGATCTGGCGCGGGGATTGGCCTTGGAGGCCCGGCTCTTGCCCTGGGCCAGGCAGGGCCTGCGGTGGAGGGTTGGATGTTCTTTTGGACAAGGGATGCGAAGAGGAGGGTAATTTGTGTGATGTTTTGGTGAGTTCTGCATCCATTTTTGGATGTGGATTTTGGGAGAGCTTTACTTGTTTCACGCTCCCGAGCTGCATGTACAAGTGGCAAGCGATGACTCGTTTTTTCACACTTTTTGCCTTTGGCTTTTGTCCGGCGAGGTCGTTCCCGGATTTCTCCACCTTGGCAAAGGCGCAGCGGTCCTGCCGTCCTTGGATCCATCAAAAGAGCCCTTCGTCTTGAAGTGCATGGGCTTTAGAGAATTGAGACATTGGCTCTTGATCATTGTAGGTTTCATTGTCATGTGATGAGCTCTTTGATGTGGTTGTCCATTGGAGCTTCAATTGATGAGTCCTTATCATTTACCTGTTTCAGCGCGGTCTATCTTCCTTTGGACTGCCCAGACCGATTCACGTCCGCTTTCGACCGCGCGGTCCTCCTCCTCCTTTGACATGGTCAGGTCAGGGAGACGGCCGTGTCAGCCGACTTGGAGGCCGCGCACCAAACCTACCTGCTGCACTGGGGAATGATCCAAGAACTCTGTGAAGAGCTTCTAGGACGTTGATGTTCTGGAGCTTTCAGGTTTGTTGGTTGAATGTGAAATCAAATCACAGAAGTTCAGCCAGGTTTCGGTTTGGACGTTTTCTTTTGACCCGTGGCAGTGCAGTTCAGGTGCCCTCGAAGCTGCTGTTTCAGGCGGAATCGCTCTTGGGTGATCGGTGCCTTGGTCGGCACCTCAAGACCTGGTCTCCCTTGGTCAAATCAAGATCAGATTTTCTTGCTTTTAAGACAGACCAGGTGTCAAGTATATTTGACAGACCAAGGGAGACCAGGGAGACATGTATATTTCACATCTTCCGATGTTAGATTTTGTTGTTATGGCTCATTTGGAGACCACCGAGGGGACTAGGGGACCGTCACCCAGCTACCGGGTCAGCGGGCGGAAACACCGCAGAGGAAGACATGTAGAGGTCCGGTTTGGTGCGGACCCTGGTCACTGAGCAACATGCAGAAGATGCTGAAGAACGAGGTTGTTTGGAGAGGTTTGGTTTGACGTTCTTTTTCAATGATTGGACCTTACCTGGCATGATGAAAGGTGATGCTGAAGTCTTTTCAGTTTGTAAAAGCACTGAGTCCATGCAAAGTACTGTTGAAGTTGTTTCTGTTTATGTTCTTCTTGTTGACAGTGGTTCTTCTAGTTGTTGTAGTTGCTAGAGGCAATGTTGCTGTCCATTTCCAAGAAAAGGATGTGTTTCTCACAGGTTCAAAATCTGAAGTTGGCATCCTTCAGATGCTTCGTTGCAGTGTTACTTTAATCTCCTCTTTTTGGGGGGGGAAGGTCATTGTTGGCAAGTTCATCCCTTCTTTATTTCCGGTGCTTTACTCCACAGATCACGACCCTCCATGTGGAAACAGACCAAAAGTTGCACCGTCCCCAGGTCCCAATCAAGACCCGCTCTCCCCGCCTTTCCGTCGTCGCCTCTCCTTCCCGGTCGTCCCCCGTCGGTCGCGCTCCCCAGGCATTGGATCCTGGATGCCTTGCGCCATGCGGTGGCGACCGCCGAGCCACAGCGGGTGCGGGGCGCGTGCCGAGCGGCGGAGCGGATGGACGGCCTTCGGAGATGGGAAGGGCGCCACGTGGCGCGTGGGGGACGGGCCAACGCGACACCCAGACAGCGCCCAGGAATGGCGGTGACATGAAAGCACATGCCATGAAAACCACGGCGGGAAGCGCCAACGAAGACAGCCATATGAAAGTCCAACAAAACGTCGACCTCCATGGCATGATGTGGGCTGTTTCCAAGGGCAGACCCGACTTCTGATCCTGTTTTTCGCTTCACCCTCCGTCCCTCGCGCGCTCCGCAAGGCGGTCGAGCTGTTGAGCCAACGTCTGGAGGTGCACCAGGACGGGGGCGTTGGGGGAGGGCCTAAGGCCTAAGGAGAAGGTGAAGGAGGTTGGAAAGGTGTCCTGAGAGATTGCACTTGGCGAACTCCGGATGAATTGGGATGCCTCAAGATGATTCAGTGATGCCACTCGCCCTAGACACGAAGCAAGCCAAACGTCACAGGGATTGCAGCTTTTTGAGCTTCAAGCTTCCGAGCTGGTTGAGAACCCTGGGGCCCAACGGTGGAGTGAACTGGACACGTTGATGAGACACGCCAACAGAACAGAACACAGATTTGCAATCTCTCACTCCATCTCTTTCTCTTGATTCCGCTCATTTTGCCGATTTCCGCCACCTTTCCACTCCACGTTCGATTTTCATCACTGCAGCTTTTCCATCGTTGTGCCATCGGGTGAACCGCCGCGGGCGTTTTCCCCCCCCCTCTCCGCCGGTCCGCGCCTGTGGCGCCCAGCCAAGCTGGTCCGCCATGGACGCGGAGGCGGAGGTGGAGCGACCAGGCACCGGGCAGGTTTCCAAGCGAATGACATGGTCTTAGTATGTTTCAGTGTACCAGTGGTAAAAGTGGATAGTGTAGAACTGGTTTCAGGGTTATTTCAAGTGTTTTTTTGATTTTGCAAGTGGATTCACACAACTGGAGCATGTTTCAGTTCTTTTTTGTTTGTCACCGGATGGTACCCTATGGCTAAGTTGTGAGGGCGGATGGCTAATCAACAGACAGAGTAGGTCGGGTCTGTCGATATGGTTCTGTTTCAGAATGCCATTCTCCAAACTCCTCCAAGAAAATGCAGACGCTGGTGGTTTATCTTGCCTTAGTTTCAGGATGTTTCCACTGCACTGTGGGTCAGAAGATTTCCACATAGTGACATATACTAGTAGATCGAACCTATGGCCTTATCTAAAGATTAAGATGTAGGGTGAGACCGGGAGGTGAGACCTGGATCTCTCCTTTTGATCTCACATGAAGGGTCAGATGAAGGGGGGTTGTCTGAAAGAAACGGCCAGTGCTTACACAACAACAATCCGATGACACACCCATGCGTTGAAATGGGTACAGTAGGTCCGTGAGTATGCATGCTGAGTCCAGATGGATAAAACAATCGGGTTGGTCCGTCAAACCATTTGGTCGTTGAGCTGTCGGAGGGTACTTCCTGGCTGCTGGGTCGAGGTGCTCTGACCTCGACGAACACGGTTGGCTCTCCGCGCAAGCTCAAGAAGGCCGGGCTGTGTGCCATTGCAATTGGGCCATGGTTCGGTGCAGAAGGGGAAACCCTGTACAGACCCTGCAACAAATGTCCAACATTTGTGCCATCCCACGTTGTCCCGCGTTGTCCACGTTCATTTTCGAAGAGGAGACCTACTCCATTGCTGGTCCCAACACCTTCTTCATACTTTTTTCTTTCTTTCCCGTCCATGGAGCTGTCAAGGGGTGAAAAGGAGAACCAGACGCCAACTCCATGCATGGAACAGGTTTGAAAGGTTGATTAGAAACATGCTTTCCAACCTTTCCTTCAGCAGAACCATGCATGGAACTCATGAAACCATGGATTGGAGAACCCATCTGAACTTTCCAACCTTTCCTTCAGGATTCAGTCTCGGCAGGCGGCAAGGTGTGATTTCACCCCAAAAACCAGCTCGATCAGAGTGACCTTCGTCACATGTCGCGGCATCCACCTCCACCGAACGGCGCCAGGTTCGGAAGAAACGAGCTCCGGCTGTATCCCTGGATGGACGACCAGAAACTCTTCATCCAGAGGTGGGATGTGCGTCCCTGGTGGAAGTTCGTCACATGATTTTCCATCATAGCTGTCCGAACATGTTCCCCCTTTCGTGGGTACAAAGAAGGCCAGGCAATGGTGAATTTTTCTATGTCGGAAGAGCATACAAACACACACACACACACAACAGAATCCCACAAAAAAACGGTCCTTTTCCATTTGCCTTCCTTTTTCGCTCGAAGTGTACGGTTCCAACTTCGTGCCGAACAGCTGGAACCAGGCCCTCGACGAACGCCTTGATCAACTGCTGCTCGTCTGCGGGTCTGCGGGTCTGCGGGGGTCTGCCGACCCGTTGGAGCAGTTGATCCACGGTGTCCGGCGGAGCACCGACCTAGGTCGGTCTTCCTCGGTATAGGGTCGGTCTTCAAAGAGAAGACTTGGAGCGGAGACGATCAGCCACTGGAGTGAGAGGCCTCACCACCTCATACCACCACAAATTGGAGGTTTGGCTGGGGACCTAGGCCGGAACATCAGACCTTGAAGGCAATGTATGGGGCTCTTTGGATAGTTCCAGGCCCTTTTTTTGGGCGACCAAAACCAACACGGCCAGCGGAAGCCATTGAGCATCCGTGGGGGGAGACTGCACTCCCGAAAACCAACATAGACCCTGACAACGGCCCCCTGGAAGATGGTTTTTCCTCTACCAGCCAGTGCAGCGAGGTTGTCGAAGAAGCACCAGGAGCTTTGGCAGAAGCTGGAGACCTGGATGCGGCGGCAGGAGTGGGGGGGTTGGAGGATGACCTGCGGGACTTTTTCTTTTTGGAGGATGCGCCATGAACAGGAGTGTTTTCAGAATGTTGGAGATGTGTTTTGCTCGTGCCTCTGCTTGGGTTTGGCGAGCCACTTCACTGGACAATGATTTGTACTTGATGGATGGAGAAAGCAAAAGAAGTCATGCATGCAATCTGAGTTGGAACGCTGTAATTTTGAGGTAGCTCCGTTAACTCCTTAATCCTTAGCCTCCAGTATAGAGCTTCCTCTATCATGTGGCTGGTCTGTGCTACTTGCAACGAATGCTGGCTGGATGTGCTACTTCAAAAAAACTGGCTGGCTTTGGTGCCATCGAAGAGTCGCATGCCTTCGCCCTGCCTTGCGAAATCGTGCATCATCTATGGCCACGTTCGAACTCCTTCGTCCTTCCTTAGCAACAACTCGGCGTCCTCGGCGTAGGAGGAATTGATCTTGAGCATTGACAACAAGATCTTGTGGCCACCGGGACGATGCCGAAGACCGTTTCGGATCGGAAGACCGTTTCGGATCGGGGAGACCGTTTCAGCGGACGCGTTTCGCGGACGCCGAGTTGAAGACCTGCGGACAGGAGTTCACCAAGACCAGCAGACCCCCTTTAAAGCGTTTAAAGGAGATCCGGGAGTTGGGTGGTGTTCTGGTGCGAACTGGGAGACTCTCCATTTGGTTCGCGTGTCGGTTCGCCATGGCTGGAACGAAGCGATGGCCGTGGCTGGAAATATTTCCTTCAACAATCTTAGGATGCTTAAGACGAAATGAGAATCGCAAAGTCGCAGAAGTACCACAGTAGATTCTATAGCAATGTATAGCAATATGCAAAGGTGAAGTGCTTGGAATGGAAACAGATGGGAACTAGAATGTTGCACGCTGATTTGAGGTCCATCACCTAAGTGTGGCCATGAGCCCTGCCGAGAATGTGCCAACTAGTTGAATGTTGACTCAAATGTCTTGGGTGTCGATACCGACTAGAATGTGTGGTAAGAGCTCTCCAACAAATTCTTCTATGAGAAACGCCTTTGAGAAAAAGTACGCAACCTACACCCTGGCAGTCTCTCAACCGTGAAGTCGTTCGCTGATCGGTTCCGATGTTCTCTTTCAAGGCCTGGGCAATCGAAGCTTGGCAGACGGGTCGTGCTGGTGATACGGGTGCCAGACTTCATGCTTCGCCCACATGGAACCGGCATGGACCGACACTGACCGACTGGAAGACCAGCTGCAAAAAAAAGCAAGCCTATGAACCGGCTGGAAACCAGGGCGGTACTCCCTTCAGGATCCCGAACCTTGGGAATGGGGGCCATTGCCATGATTTGCGTGGCTGAAGCAAAAAGAAGCAAGAAGCATCGAGTTGGGCTTTGAACTGAACGAGGTGGATGAGAGGTCCCAACTTCTGCGCCTGCAAAAGTGCATGTTCGAGCCCTTTTTGATTGGCCCGTTTTTTTGGTTGGAGGCTGTGGGGTTGGATGGCATGGTTGATCCATCCAGACTTGAACAGATGGAACTGCAGTGCCGGAGGGGCCAATCCCAATGGGTGTGACCAAACCTAGTTTCCTTCTGGATCCTTTTGGCCAGTTCTTTTGGATCCTTTTGGCGTTCCTCCTATTCACAACGACGCACCCCACATCATCCCATATCCCATGTGTATATATATATATATATCCCGACATTGACCCTTTGCCGTGCGACCCGAACCCGAGGAAGACGGATGCCACCTTCTCGAGCACCGTTAGTCCATCGAGCGGCGAGGCCAGGTTTGCGTGGCCACGTCTGATGCGTGGCCAAAATCTCATGTCTTGTGATTTTTTGCAGAGGAGGCCCAAACTCGGGCGGCTCGCCCGGGAAGGCTTCCTGTTGAGAGTTTCTGTTGCGTGTCTTGATCCAGATTCGCCCACAGTCCCAAGGCCGAAAAATGGGACTGAACATCTTCGGAGGATCTCTTCAAGACACAGCTGTGCCTTTTGTTTTGATTTCACAGATGGTGTTTAGCTGAGACTTCTAAGCTGTCCAAGCTTCTGCCAGGGCTCCGCCAAGGTGGGCTGGGAGAGGAGTGGGGCGGGTCTGGATCAATACAATTTGAAAACGGATATCTGTTGTCATCAGACCATTTTCATTATGAGGCCTTCATTGGGGAGATGATCATCCATTCAATCAAACGGTTTTGAAGACAGAAAGGCAGACTCTGGATGGCATGCCCAGAAGTGTCAGACTAGCATCCTCCCACCTCGCTTCTAAAGTTGGAAGGAAAGCTGCCGAGTGAATAGTGAATACAAAGCAACATGTCTATGATGGTTTGCTTGGCAATAATAAAATAGGTCATCCATTCAGCAACTCATGGTCCAAAACCCTATGCCATGCTCGTTGGTCGATCATTTCACCCATTCCAGAACGTGCCGCCAGATGAAGATGAAGGCTGCGGTCTGGAACGTTTCCACCAAGAGCAAAGAACCGCAGGTGCGGGGCCCCCACGGGCTGGATGCCAT